GAAAAACACAATCCCTTGAGCTTTGATGTGTCCTTGTCTATCAATAAAACTGTTCACATAATGACATCAAAACAAAGTTTAATATGGGTTTTTAGAAACAAACTAGTACTTCAATTTTATGAAAAACTAGATTCAGAAAAGGAAAAATTAGAACTTTTTTTCAAATGCAATGTTTTTCCATCTAGGAAACTACAAAATTAGTTTTCCAATTTTCCAAATTTGTACATAGTTTGGAAAATATATTTTAAAGGTTCTTCACAATTATCATATTTATTGAGTCATAAATTTATTTTTTTTATTATATATTTAATATCAAGATTTTTTTAATTATAAAGTATAAATATTTTCATGATAATTTTAACTTGAATGAAATTGAAATTGAAATTGAAATTTTATAATTAAATTATCATAAATACAAAATATTAAGATGACTATTAGCAATCATGGTTTTGGTTTTTATTAAAACTAGTACTAATTTGACATTTTTCTTTTTTTCATAAAATTTGTCCTTTTTCTTAACAAATAAACATGCTTTTCAATTTCTCGTTGAAAAATGAAAACTAGAAAAGAAAACAAAAATTGAGAATGAAAAAGAAAAATGGTTTTATGTTATTAAACATACCCAAAATGTGTCAATTTCTTTTTCCTTTTCCCTTTTCCTAAATTTCCACTATGGGAGAAATGAACTCTCAACAATCAAATAGTAGCACTATAATAACTGACCAAAAGCTTCTCTAAATTATACGCCGTGTATGTGCTTTTTTTAACCTTAATTTTACCCCTTTTTTTCCTATAACCTATTTCAACACATAACAAAGTTCATAATTTGTTATCTCCATTTAACTTTTGTATGTCAGCATGTTATAGAACCCCAGTGTCATCTTCATGTTCTTGCTCAACTTATTTCTTTCAATTCTTCCTCTAACAAAATAAACTCTGTTTATCAAATATTTTACCAATGAATCATCACTCAAAGCATTTTATGGACAATTCCTCCTATCTGCTCTCCAGTGATCATCAAATCTGTCTCTCTATATAGTAGTTCATTCCAATCATGCTCCATTATTCACATTGCTTCTAATTTACCATTATCATACTAACAAATTGACAGAGCAACAAAAAGTCATAAATTTTAGTAGAAATTAAACCTATGATTCTCAATTCATCTAATCAATCTGGTTCAAAGTTCATGATAAACAAAGAATATACCCCAAAATCTAAACCAGGAGACCTAGAAAATGAGAGAAAAGACTTACTTAGGTGCCAGAAAGAATGGCACAGGATCCCTAGCGAAAGTAGGATGAGGAATTCCAGACAAATTACAGCTTATACTAATATAAGCTGGTTTACTTTCCTTCAAAGCAGTAGAAATTGCTGTGTCAATCTGCTCATGTGCATCGTCCAAGTTGTTCACCACTGCCTGTCACACGTTAACACCACCATTACCCCATCATGACAAAACACACGATGGCAATACACACTGAAGTTCATTGCTCACCAAATCCATTACACAACACATAAACAGGATCCATGTTTTTCATTAAACACAAATGGAAATGGATAGACAGAATTGCTTTAGGTATGAATAATTATGCTTTAATTTATTGATGACTTACTTGAACGCAGGTGACAGTCTGAAAGCACCTAAGCTCCTGGGAAAAATCAGGCAGCCCAATAGTGTGATGCAAAATCCTGTTGGTTCCATAATCATTGGAATTGGGCCCACCAACAATACAGATAATAGGCAAATTCTCACTATAAGCACCAGCAATCGCATTAAGCACACTAAGCCCACCTACAGTAAAAGTCACCACACATGCCCCGACACCTTTGGCACGTGCATACCCATCAGCAGCATAGCCAGCGTTCAGCTCGTTACAGCAGCCGATCAAGTTCAGCTCTGGCTCAGCTATCAAATGGTCTAAAAGTGTCAGGTTAAAGTCTCCAGGAACAGAAAACACATCTCTAACGCCGATCTCTACCAGCCGCCGAGCCAAATGACTCCCCAAAGTGCCACTGCAAGCATGGGCAGGAACGGGAGCAGGAGCAGGAGCAGGAGTTGAGTTGTGGTGCACCGTTGAGCCAATTTGGATTGCAGAATCCATGCTAAAACAACAACACTCAAGCAAAAATATGAAAGTGGGTTACAAGTTTTAGAGAGAGATGAAAGAATTGATTGCTTTTTTTTTTTGTGGGCTTTGAAGGGTTTTGTGTGCGTGATAATATAGGTTTTGACAAGTTGGGCTTCACTGTAAAAAAGAAATGCTGGTTCTGGTTCTGGTTTTGAAAACCATGGGCAAGTGGGATGGCCATGTTGACGAGTAGAGGTCACCTTGAGAGAAAAGTAATAGTATTAAAGACGGATTTTTCTTCGGTACCTGTCTTTAGTGAAATAACAAATTATTTTGTTTCAAAAAGTCTATTATTAAATCCCTATATTCTCATGTCTGTCTTAAGTTAGTCCTTTTATAGGTTTTCCATAGCAATTAAACTGTTCATTATCTCAAATATAAATGGAAAAAAAAAATCTCAATCTCACCTAATAAAAATAAAATTAGAAAATTACTAAAAATTCTTGTAGCTTACCGGAGAAACATTCCACCACATACTAATTCTTTAAAAGTTACACTTTACACGTGTAATTGGTATTAGAAATCATGTATTATAAGCAAATTAAGACTTTTCACACCATCTTTCCAAAAATATATATATATTTTTTATAATATTATATCATGACATTGTAATTTCACATGTTTTTCTTTTATTTTATAGTATGTATTTTTTAAAATATTTTTTATTTATAAATATATAATTTTAAAAAAAATATTTTAAATATTAATATATCAAAACAATTTAAAATTAAAAATTAAAATTTTATGAACTTTATTATTACATCATCTTGTTTGTTTTTATGTTTCAAAAATATTTTAAAAAAATTAAAATTTTTTATTTTTTATTAACTTTAAATTAATATGTTTTTAGTATTTTTAAATCATTTTGATATGCTGATATCAAAAATAATTTTTAAAAAATAAAAAAATTATTAAAATATATTTTAATAAAAAAAATTATTTAAAAAATAATTATAATTACAATGCTAAACAAGCTTACGTAGGTAAAAAAATCTATAATTTGAAAAGTTAAGTCTGTAAAGGGATTTATTTTTCTTCTTGTTTAAAGAAAAATTCAAAGAGAAAAAGTCATGACATGTGTAAAATGATAAACATGATAAAAACAAAATTAAGATATATGATATAGACTAAAATAGTCTTTATGAAAAGATTGTAGACAAAGTATTCACACATGATAAAAACAAAATTAAGATATATGATATAGACTAAAATAGTCTTTATGAAAAGATTGTAGACAAAGTATTCACACATGATGGCTTTATTAAGCTTCCAAATAAATTTTTTTTTTTAAATGCATGTGAAAAGGTGATCTTAGAGATTTCAAGAGGAAGCCCGCTCAACTTCAATCAAAGGGACTAAGATATGATTTTAAAAACAAGAGGTACTAACTTGCAAAATCATAAAAGTACAGTTGCATGGTGGGGGAAGGGGAGATGAGAAACCAGGGTCTACAGTAACGTGGTGGGCTTGTACTAGGTGTGGTTTTGCTGTTGGTATTGTACTTTAATTAGTATTTAATTACGAAGGATTCCACTGCATGTTCTAGAGCAGAACTCAACAATGGCTGGAAACTAAAATATAGAAAAATCAGTGGTGGAGACTGTCTGTTGTCTGGTTTCTGGTTTTTTTTTAACTGTAGTAGTACAACGTTTTTTCGCTCCATTCACAGCGTTGCTTTCCTTGATGTAAACTATGGCGGCTGCCTTGGTTTTATGCTACTTGGAATTGCTGCCTAAACCTTTTTTTTTATCAAAATTATCGGCCCCTTCTCTGACCCAGAGAGGACGTTTTGCATTGCCTAAACTCTTTTTATCTCCAGTTAAAGTATTTATATTTTAAAATTATTTTAAAAAAAATTTAAAAAATTTTATTTATTTTTTACTTATAATTAGTTCTTTTAATATAATTTTAAACCAAAAAAAGAAACACTTACTATCCAAGTCCAAGTCCAAATCCCAATCCCAATCCCAATCCCGACGTGCTGCTAATTTTTTAAGCACGAGTTGACACCCCTTGATTGATTAGCAAGCATGCCTTGGTTTTGTTTTTAATTTTTTTTCGAGGACCTGGTGATTATTTTTTGCTTTTGGCTCCTGCCAGCACCTTAAAATGAGACTGAATTATGCAGAGTCGTGCACGGTAGGGGATAATTAAGCCACACTCGGCTATGCACATTCGTGCAAGTTAGGGGATAATTAAGCCACACTCGGCCTATAAAATCTCTTGTATTTGCGTCTATGCTTCCAGCTTAAATATATTTTTCAAATCTAATCATCCATGGTTTGGATAGATTTCATCTTTTGGTTTAAGATTTGAACCTTCTTAAATCTCTTTTTAACCATCAAGCCATAGCCACTTTGTTACACGTAATCCTCGTAGACTAGCTGGTTTTTTCTTCTTCTTCTTCTAGATGAAGCAGCAGAAGTTGAAAATTGGATGGAAGAGGAATTAATGCGAATTGCAAATAGTCTCCAGGCCATTCCCACGCAAATTAATAAGATGGAGACCATAAGAAATAAAGGCCACAGGTAGCCTATGCCCTACTGGAAGTTTTCTTTTTCTTGATCATGACAACCTGTATGCCGGCATTGGCCCGTTTGAGTAAAATAGGCTTTCCAAAACAGGACAACTGGTCCCTCTGGTTCATCTACTAAATTTTCTCTTTTGGGAGAGGAAAGTTTCTGGATTTGGAAAGAAATGAGGAGGAAATATCGTCATTCATGGTGATTGCAGGAACTTTTTTGTGTATAAAAAACACTGTGATCTGTTACTATGATGTTCATGATTTTTAAGCCTATCATCAATCAATATAGATGGGCGGTAACTTTCTCTTTTTTCAACACAGGGATATAGCTAAAACAATATTCATGAAATAAAGTATATAACAAAAATAGCAATACTTGATATCTAAACAAATGTCAAATAATCAAAGGAAGGAGCATTCAATTTTAACAGAAGCCGTAAGGTGAAGGGAAACGGAGGAATCATCAAGAGAGGACAGAAAATACAATCATCCTGCTCCCATGTCCAAATAAAAAGTCAAACTACAACCAGTGCTAATCAGCAATGAAGGGAATCACATATACTGTAAAACAGAAATCGATAACATCTATACGCAAGAACCCTAGCAAGGAATCTTTGAGGTGAACCACTTCATGACCAGGATGGGAGCCTTGATCAACCCCAGTGCGAATTCAACTATGATGGTCACACAGAAGCAGCAAGGGCATACGCAAGACAACACCAGTCTGTAACACGCACACACACACACACACGAAGAAAAAAGAGAAGCCGATTACATGTTAGTTTCATGGCATTATTACCATCTACTTCCTACACAGGCGGATATTTATGCGTTGTATAACATCAGATTAATCAAACTATAAAGAAACAAAGATAAAGACACTTACCCAACAATCCATATAAGTACACCGATGATAGAGAGGAGGACAGATAGGAGAGCAAAGGGTAGGCCTAAGAGAAAGCCTAAAGGCCTGCATTTACAATCATCATCGCAGCAGCAGCAACACATGGTTTTTGCTATGAGATTTTCTTGTTTTCGCTGGAAGTCTATGTTAGAGGTAGAGCAAATATATGAACGTTTGACGGAGTGTACAAAAGAATATCAATAAGACAAATAGCCATAAACTTAGTTTATTTATTAATATTTGCCGTTCAGCCTTTGCCAAGAACAGAGTCATTGAAAGAAACGGATGACCAACCACCACCTATGCCATATTCCCACGTAATCAGTTTCAGTGGTTTACAGGGATGATTGAAATTTCCCTGTGAGGGAACCGTTCTGCTATTGATTTGCTTTGCTTTGGGATTTCCTTATTCAATGAAGATTTTTCAAATTAACCCAAATAAGCTGAGCTGCTTCTTTATCTTGAGAGATAACAAAAAAGAAAAAAAAAAATCTTACACACCAGAAAGTGACCGAGTAGGATTACATCTGGACTTATTTCCATATGAATAGGTATTACCCAAATTATATAATTGCTTCCGCGACGGAGGTGTCGGACAACAAAAAAAATTATTGCAATATACGGTGGGACGACGGTGGTTTTACACTTTTTTTTTTCACTTTGCTTTTTTTTGTGATTAATTTTTTTTTTAATTTAATTCTTTAAGTTGTGTTGATTAAAATTCAAAATTAATAAGTATTTTTATTTATCTTTTATACAGTTATTAATATCTCACAAAGCAACTCATCATCAAGTTGATGCTTAGTTTTTTTAAAAAAAAGAAATTAGATTTGGTTACTTGCAAGGAATTAAAAATGAAAGGAAAAAATTAAAGAATTAAAAAAATTCTTTTTTTTATTTTGAAAAAGATATATCAATTTTGGCTTTATTTATTTATTTATTTTGCTGATTTTTTTTTCCATTTGATTCCTTGAATGTTGGGTTGAATATTAGAATTTGGAGTTGATAATTTATTTTAAATTATTTTTTTATATGGTTATATTGATCACAAAAATATATCACTATTTTTTCACTATTTTTTCACACTCGGTTTCACAAAAAAATTATTATCTAAGAAGGATTGAAAATGATAAGGCTAAAATTATAATAATGGAATATTCGAAGGTCCATTAAAAAAAAAGTGTTAGCATCTCTATGCCTTTTGGTTTTGTCCAAAATCATATTTGATCCCTTTAGTTTTGAAGTCTCATGGTTATGTCCAAAACTTTGTTTGTCTGTCATTTGAGTCCTTGAGTTTGAAAAAGAACACTATTAGAATATTGTATATCACTGATGGTATATTTTGTCATTGTTTAAACATTCATTCAATCAAAAATAACTTTATCAACGAAATCATAGATGGATAAATGTCATCGTAAAACATATCATCGGTAATTTATATTTTGTCAGTCAATATGTTGGTAATATAATCACCTATGGATTTACAGATAAAAATAGTATATCAAACAAAAAAAATATTGGCATTAATTTCATTAATAAATTCATTAATGATTATAGTATATTATCGTTAAACTAAACACCATTGATAAATCTATGGATGATCATATGTATATTACCAACAAAATTAAACTGTCAAAGAATTATATCTAACTATGGCAAATCTTGTAATTTTTTTCAATTCTCTAGAACTTTTTAAGAGACTTGGTCCATTAAGCATTCCATTGATGATTCAAATTCTATTATATCTTTGTTACAATAAAAAAGGCAACGAGGTTGACCATATGTGCTAATAAAGATGACTAATAACTGCTTGAGGACATTTATTTTATCTCTCTAGTTGGCCATCTCAAGTCTAAGTTGGGTCATCTTAACACTAAGTTAGGTCATCTAAGCGTGAACATATTCTCGTAGAATCATTTGGATAGGCGAGGATTGTTGGCTTGATTCTAATTATAACTAACCACTAATCAATACATTACAGTCTACCTATATATCCTTGGTTATAATGTTGGAGATACTGTAAACCCGATTTCTATCGGATCCATAGGTAGATCCAACCTCCAACAATAAATCTGGATCGATTGCTAGATGGGTCGAAGGACTATCCCTATAACTCTCATGCAATTAGGTGCTATATGTTTTCTAAAAAGAGTCAGCAAATTAAAAATAAAAATAAAGAGAGAGATTAACTTAAGAAAAGAATTGTTGAAATCCAACTTACCATAAACTTCTAAACTCGATTATCCACAAGTTGTTGCACTTCTTTTTGACAGTCTTTTTCATACATGAGTTTCAAGAAAAAGTTCCACTAGTCATAGATTGTGTCCAAACACTTTAGCCTATAAAAGTTAGCTACTATAAATTAAACATTTTCACATATTACAACAATTATAAAATAAAATCTTGACATCTATTTTGCATGTGAAATGAATAGAATGGATCTGGGCATCGTACTAGAAAACACACTACCTAGTTCTTAGAAAAAAAAATTATCGGTTAAGATTATGAAAAAAAATTTAAACATTTTATAAAATATCACAATTTAAATTCAATCTTACCTAATGATGTGGTGATTCTCTCAGACTCTCTTAGAAACAACATTGTCAACCTTCTACCAATAAATGTTTTCCTCGCATATCAATTTTATAAAATAATTAGTTGATTAAAATTAAAAAAAAAAACTAATTAAATTAAATATTAAAAAAATTATTTATATAAATACTAACTTTTCCAAACTAATCATCAATCATAGACTTTCATTAAAGAATTTTAGAAACTTGACTCCCCTAAAACAACGACGTTTTCATTGATGTTATCATATGAGTTGCCTCCATATTTGTAAACTTGAAATTTCATTCATTCATTAAAATTAATTTTTCAAAAGTTATCCATTATTGTTTATTTTTTTATTATGCAGGAAAGGAAAACAAACTTACATGTTATGAATGAGCTTTCGCTTAGAAATATACTTTTTAGTTTATATATTCTACTCAAAAAGGACACCCTCTCTATGAGTCACCCTTGTATTATGCCTACATTAAGAGAGGGTACTCGGTCATGATCAGCACCTAGCAACTTTTGGTCATCAAAATCGTTGCAAAAAAACCAACAATGCTCATGTCCATATTATTCGCTGATGACCTTCTCTTCATCATGTAAACAAATTAAGTATAGATACATTATCATTATATCATATTTTAAAAAAAAAATTGATGGCACATCTTCTATATAGGACACTACTCAAAATTTTATTACCTGTATATATGCATTAATAAATAAAGTCATAAATCAGTTAATTTTATTTATGACTAATATTTAATTTAAAAGCATTCTAAAAATTCAATTAACATCTTAACATCCTAATATATTTTACAATTGTTGCACATTATTGCTATCCAAATTAAATACATTCCATCATCATGCCAATTAATTTAAAAAATAATAGCATCATCCCAAATATCAATTTACATAATAATATCATTGGGTTATGAGGAAGAAGAGAGAAGAGAAAGAGAGTCATCAAATTACGATGAAGAAGAGAGAAACTAGACAAATATTCAATTTTCAACGATGAAACTTGTTGTTCTTGTTGTTAATGAGTTCCATTTGCTTAATGATTATTACTTAAAAGTATATTTTTATGAAGGTTTTATATCATCATTTTACACTTGAAGGATTAATAACTTTTTAGCTAGAGCATAATTTATAATAATATTTCTAATAATATAAGATACCTTTAATTTATGATAAATATTCATTTTAAATGCAAACCTATCATATAAATCAAGGGATTGATTGACGAATTTAACTACTGAAATTAAGAAGACAAAGAGAGGGCTAAGCTTAGAAAAGAGATGTTGGTTCAGTCCAAACTGGACACCATTCAGTTATTGAATCATAACTAAAGGTATAGAACTTGGATTTAAGTCTGCTCTATATGGATGGAAAGCTAAGACATAGGCCTAAAACTTTCATGAAGAGTCTACGATTCAAAAGGGTCATTTTCAAGTTCAAATTATAGCAACAACGAAGAAGTCTAAATCTATCCTACAGCCCAGATACTGCTTAATGTTCAGCCTATATCTCGAGTTCTAGAAGTCCAAATGCACCTGATTTGTTTTTTTTGGAAAGTTGAGATAATTTTCTAGAACTTTCATGCAAACAATCTGTTCAAATTCTGATGTTAGCAATGATGTTTTGTTCAAATAAAAAGATAAAGACTGTTACCAAGTCAAGATGTGGCCACCCACTCAATAATTAGTCAACAAATCAATAATTTTAAAATTTGGCCTATAAAATGAGTCATTTGCCATGCATTTAGTCATTTTGATTTTCAGATCAAGATTATGTTCTTGCTCTTTTTCTTTATTTTTTTGTAATGCTTAAGTTTTACTTTTATTAATATCTTATTTATGCCTTTCATTTTCTTTCCTTTACTTAGTTAACTTATATCTTATTTATGTTGTTATCTTGTTTATTTATATTTCTCTCTTTCATTATATTTAGCTAAATTTATTATGTTAAGGTGAAAAGATTACACTAATGATGTTAAGATAAGTATGATATAAACTCAATATAAACTTCAATGATTATATCCTAAACCACTTGCTATTACCATGTCTTATCATTTTTATCTTATTAATTCTTAATACTTTGCTTGTTAAATGGTTAATCTAAATTTGTATTGTATAACACTTGTTACAACAAATGCTTGATACTTTTCTAGTCCAATCGTATGGTACAACCTACACCTTTGCTATGAAAGGAACTTGATTTGTTATTAACATAAGTTAGCATCATGAATTTCTGACAATATTTAAAAGTTTGGTGTTACTTAAATAAGATAATTAATATGATTATGTTAACAATTTATAATGAGCTATTAATAATATTTTATAGTATCCCCTACATAAGTACCATTAACATTAAGGTATATGAATAAATTGTAATTAAACAAATGTTTAGTTTGAAAATTGAATGTAATACTCAATTGAAAGTGTAATATGTCATTGTTTAAAAGTATTTACAAAATCATCTTTAATTACAAAAGTTTGTCCAATAATCAAGTCTCCACTACCGACTGATTTTATATATACATCGCAATTGCGATTCGGAATCACAATTTTATTATATAATCGCTATTATGAATTGCGGTTGCATTAAAATCATGATTCAAAGTCATAATTTTTATATAAACTAGTATTCTAAATACTAGTTCTTTGATAACTACAATTCAAAACAATATAAATTTTAAAACTATGTTATTTCTAAAATAAAATAAAATAAAATTGTATCATTCTTTAATAACTTCAATAGCCTTTGTTTTTGTTTTTCTTGGAAAGCTCACAATTATATGTGCCATCAGTCAAACAGATATCATTTGCCTCAATGAATTTGAGTTTTAATTTGAGATTTTTTAGAATTTAAATAAAAAATATAATTAATTATTTTTTCATGGAAAAAAAATTTGGATTCAAATAATTAAATAACTTAATAAAAAATATTTATATTAGATTATATTTGAATTCAAGTTCCTCAATAAGAAAAAAAATTTTTTGTTGCTTGTGTGGTTGTATTATATTATATATAAAGAAATTGCAAATGTAAATATAATTTTTTAAAGTAAAGAAACATAATTTTTTAAATTTATTTTATTAAATATAAATATTATATTTATATTTTTTAAATAAAAATTATACTATTTAAAATTATATCTATTAATTCTTTCACGAGACATTCATATATATAATGCAATAATAAAAACTACTTTTCTAAAATAAATCAATCATATTTTTATAATATTATTGAAGATGTTTAATTTTTATTTAAAAATATATTAAAATAATATTTTTTTATTTTTTAAAATTATTTTAAATACCAATCCATTAAACTAATTTAAAAGTATAAAATATATTAATTTAATATAAAAATATAAAAAATTTAAATTTATTTTAAATTATTTTTAAAACGAACATATTTCAACGCGACATTAACTCTTATTGAGTCGTGAGGCAAGAACTGGCCCACCAACAATCAGCAAAAGCTTCCTTGGACGAAAAAGGACGGTTGCTCCATCGATGTCGCCTTCTCCAGAAGCCAATCCACTACTGACAGCACGAATTAATGTAAAGTCAATACTCAATAAGCAGTCATGTCACCCTTTCACTCTCAGTTCAACAAGCAATGATACCCGACCATGTGGTCCCTGAAATAATTTCTGAAAATGTTTTTTAATCGATAAGACAATAATCCTCTGAAACCAGGTACCCAAGAGAAAAATAAAAATAAAGATCTCCCACGTTTATTATATAGTTTTCCAACAGAAGATTTAACATTTTCCCGAGCCGATCGACTAAATATTTTGTGATTTTGATCTACAACTAAAGAATTAAATAAGACCAGGATCGCATCACAACCAACCATCATATATCCCTTTGTTTTTTTCCCCAAACATGCGGTTGATAGCCCCGTTGGATGCAATGGTAGGAAAGCAGCAACGACGCATCCACCGTTGGATTGTTAGTGGTGGCTGCACTTCTGCTAATAGCCATTAGCAGCGACAAGTGGGCCATGGAAGTGGCATACAGGTAATAATATCAATACATTAAGACCACATTGGTTCTTGAATGGAGCCTTCATCAGAAATAAATGCAACCGGTGGCTCAGTAGGCCAAGTAAGAAACCGGCCTTTTGATCCGATACAAGCTGTGGGAGCCAAAGCTAGAAAACAAGGAGGTGGGCATTGAAACGGTGGGTAGGAAGGAACCAGGAGAAGGCAAATCCGAAGATCAGAAACTCGCTTCATATTGCATGTGTCATGCGTCAAGATCGGCGGAACTCCAGGTGTTTTGAGTCGTAACAATATCAACCAATATCCTGCGCGCATCTACAGATTTCTCAAAGATGAGACCAAAGATTTATCTCTATGGTGACTCTATAACAGAAGAGTCCTTCGGTGATGGTGGCTGGGGTGCCTCGCTCAGTCACCATTTCTCTCGCACGGTGATAACCCGCTTCTGTCTTTCATATTATTTAAGCTACTGTATCTATACATATTCTTGTCTCTGTGTTTCTTGATCATGTTTGGTTCTTTGTTTTATTTTTTTCAGGTTGATGTGGTGCTAAGAGGGTACAGTGGGTATAATACCAGGTGGGCTCTTAAGGTGGCAGAGAGGATATTTCCGCCGGTGGAAAGTGGTGGTGTACCGCCATTGGCTGTTACGGTGTTTTTCGGTGCTAACGATGCTTGCCTTCCCGATAGATACTCTGCCTTTCAACACGTGCCACTCCATGAATACAAGCAGAACCTTCACTCTATCATCTCATTTTTCAAGGTATACACGTTCCTCCCAATCTTGTCAGGGTTCTATTTTGATTGTTAAATAAGAAGAGAAAATCCAAAATGTTTTTCTTTTCATAGATTAGCATGTTCGTCCTCGAATCTTCCATATGGCATGCGTAGCCCACTCATCCCACTGAAAGGCCGGAATTGAGGCATGTTTGTTTAATGAAAAATAATTTCTTAAAAGCTACTTTCTATTTTTTTTTGTATTTTTTATTAAAAAATAATTAATAAAAAATATTTTCTAATTAAAAAAAAACAGGTTTTTAGAAAAACAGTTTTCAAAACTTTGAAAGTGTTATAAGAAATTAAAAAATATTTTATTGTTTATTAATTATATCAAATATAATCTTTTATCTTTTAACTATAATATATATTTTATTTTGATCTTTTTCTTTTATTTTTTTTAGATATAATGTAATTAGATTTATATATTAACTTTGATTTTTTTTCAATTTTTTAGTTAAATTTTTTATCCAGATTATGATTTTTTTGATTACTATTATTTAAAATAATTTTTAAAAAATATTTTTTTATTTTTCAAATTTAATTTTTATTTTATAATAAATTTAAAAAATATTATTTATTTATTTTCAGTTTTTTTCATTACATAATTAAATATTTAACACTAGAAAATGTTCTGCAATATATTTCTTATGACATTAATAAAAATTGAAAAATAATTTGTTTTTTCAGAATTTATTTCTTATAAAAACTATTTATGTATAGACTAAATTAATCTTTCATCTATTGAATGTTAGTCTTACAATGATTTACTATTACTACTAATAATAATAATAATAATAATAAACTAGCATAGTACAGGTATACGCACGAACAATGAAATTAAGTATTCTGGATCAGAAATCTCTTAACGTGGAAAGAAAAGACGAGAAAATGAGATGGGGAAAAATGGGACCGATAGTGACGTCATAATGATGACCGTACATCAAGTTGATAAAAAAATAATGAAATGGGGTTTCGAAGTTGGGCCAAGGAAACTATCAATTAAAGAGAAAGATCTGCTTATGGTGGGTGAGTCCCAGTTGTCGCTGTTATTGTTGGCCATTGGGCTATTATTATTACTACCCATTTTTTTTTTTATATATATATATATATATTTTCTAAAAAAAAAAAATAATCGCACTGCGTGACATGATAAAGCGTGCTTGGAGTGGGCATTCTGTTAGCCGAATTTTATTTCACATCTAGTCGATTAGGTTATTCCAGTGCAAAAGTATTTTTTTTTCAATTATTTATTTTTATTTTTAGATTATTTTAATGTATTTATATCAAAAATAAAATTTAAAATTATAAAAAATATTATTTTAATATATTTTTAAATAAAAAATAGTTAATTTCATAAGTTGATGGGCTTTTTGTTATCGCAAGTTTTGTTGGGCTTTTTTGTCTTACTGATTTGCTGATTATGATTTTGGTAATCTTGGAATTTTTGAAAAGGGATCTTGTACTGCTCATCTTATTTTAGAGGAAATATACATTTTTTTTTAATATAACGTAATATTAAAAAATATAATGTAATAAAAAAAATAAAGAAGAAATAACTTAGATAACGAAAATTTATTATTTATAAAAAAAATTATCAACTCGTAATTGTTCTTGTTTTCCTATAAAAAGCCAAACTATCTCAAACATATAATTTAACCATAAAAGGGTAAATTTCTCATTCATTATTTTATTAATAGTGAAATTGTCATTAATTATAATATTTTTTGTTGGTATTTCCTAAACTAATATTAAATATCCAATAAAGCACAATATTTTTAACTAAATTCTCACTTTTCTAATTCAAATTATTTTTTTTTTCATATTTATATATATTCAAGTAATGATTTATCAATTAATACCATATTTTTAACATGTATTACATTATTTAAAAAAATTTAATGAAAGAAAGAAAAAAGCATAACGAAGCAGATAATGGAACGATAGAGAATCCATGATTTTTTTTTCATATATATATAGTAGCAAAATCCATAAAATAAGAGCATATTTTATCCTTATACTCTTATTTAATACATTAAGGTATTTTTCCTTAATGTTTTGCTTTGCTCTTTTCTTTTCTTTTTTAAATTTGTGCTAAATAGAAGAAATCATACCCTTTGAATATGTTATTTTATGCCTTTTCCTTGGGCCCGTTGTTTAGGCCTAAAGAGGGTCTAATGATTTTGTCATGGAAAATAGGATGTAGCCTTTTATTTTCAGAGGACCATTTTGTTAAATTATCCTATAAAGATGTGCAAGTTTAGAGGTGATCATGGAACTTCAAAAAACTTGGGGGGTAGAGGTCACCCCTGGTCGTCTTGAACCTTTTTGCATATGCACGAGTGTCTTAAAAGTTGGCACTTTGTGTGGTATCTAGCACTGGAACATGGAGGACCCACCATTGACGTTCTTAAACTTGTTCGCGCACATGGATCCCTAGATGTGGTCACCAAATAACATATATATTAGGTTTTATTTTTGAAGGATTTGTTCTTTTCCTTGAAAGTTGTCAAACACTTGCATGGTGAGTGCGTTTTTTCCTTGAAAGTTGCCATGATAAATCAACCTTAATTTTTGCCTTAATTTTTAAAAGAACCTGTTAGATGATCAATGATTGCTTTGCTATAGAATCAGTGTTTATATAATCTAGTAGGTTGGAGCCATCCCGTCAACATCTCCGTTTGCATTATAAGTTCTTTGAAGTAGAAGCTAACATCTTTATATTTATGCTGAATATCAGAAGCGTTGGCCAGAGATTGTCATTCTCCTCATTACTCCTCCTCCGATTGAAGAAGATGCACGCGTCCGGTATGCTTCTAACCCACGTGCCCTTTACATCTTTGTACGTGTCTTCTTGAATACTTCTCATGGGCGTGTCATCGTGATTAGCTAGTATCCTTGCAGAGTTTTATATAGAATAAAGTATGTAGAAACTTGGTGAAAGAAATAGCATTAAAATTTTGCAGACATCCATATATAGAGAACCCATCAGGTCTGCCTGAGAGGACAAATGAAGCTGCTGGTGCTTATGATCAGGCATGCATGTCTGTCGCCAAAGAATGTGGATGCCCGGTGGTAGATCTCTGGATCAAAATGCAAGAATGTCTTGACTGGAAGAAAGCTTATCTAAGGTATTTTAAGTTTTATCTTGCTTGTCTATATACTACTATACATTGCTTGCTGCAGGGGTGAACATAATGGATTTTTTGTTGCCATTTATGTTCTATATCACCGGTAATTGATACTTTATTGTTATTGTTCTCGCTAAATGGTGAACATGAAATACTGAAATATTCGCTTGTTTTCTGCTCATGTTTTCACCTAATCAAGTGTTCTTGACATTTACAATTGTTTGTACATCCATCATCTATCATTGCGAAGATGTTATTGACAGCTTTTTGGGAATCTACGTAGTTGCTTGTTTGGTAGAGTACACTTGGTTCATACATGTAAAACATCTACTTGTTATGGTGCAGAGTTCTTACCCGTATTTAATTAAGATTGGCATCCATTTCTGAGATTTTCCATTGCCATGGATTGAATAAATTAAACTAAAAGTTTCGTCATCTATCTCAGGCCATTGAAATTATATTTCTTTTTTTCCTAGTAAGCAACAATTCTTGGTTCTCCAAGGAATTAAGCAGGCTAAGGAATTCTGAATACTTGTTAAAATGGAATTGCAGTGATGGTTTGCACCTCACTCAGGCTGGCAATAGGATTGTGTTTGAGGAGGTGGTCAAGAAGCTGAAGGAGCAGGGCATTTGTGTGGAAAATTTGCCAGTTGATCTCCCACTCATCGCCAACATTGACCCTCAAGATCCACTAAAAGCATTCCAGGATTATTAACATCAGCTCATATGTCAAGCAAGGTCTTTTTTTTTTTCTTCTTCTCTTTTGAGCAGGGTGAGCTGCGCCATAGATATCATGGTGATCGCATTTGTGTTGAAAGAATAGAAAAGTGATGTTTAGACTAAGGTTGCGATCATTTTGTGAAAGCAATTCTGTATACGGTGTAACTCACTCTTTAATTCCAGTGAATGTAGACAATGAATGCTATAGCTCTTTATTTTGTTGACTTAGGAATTGTCTTTGGCATAGCCTTCTGTCTTATCTTCTTAACACAAGATTTTCTTTCTGAGAGTAACGGTGTTCATAACCACTACTTTTTTCTAATATTATACTTTATACATTCATATTTTACTATTAATTACTGTCACATTAAAATGAATATATATATAACACCCAGCTTAGATTAAACAAGTCTGCAACTCAAACTCTTTCGATCCTCTTTCCTGCCGCTTCCAATTACCCGCTCGTGGAGGTGGAGTTTTACATGATGGGTGCTCTTTAAGATAGAATGATATAATTTCTTTAATGAGACATTAAGTGCTCAGGATTATACTATTTGTGCAAGTGGGAATTTCAGGACGGATAGAAATACCAACGAGAACAGATTTTAATAGGTAGAAAATTACTTGATCTTTTCAAGCTCAGGTGAGATTCAGAGGTAAAAAATTAAGTTTCATGTTAGATATGAATATTAAGTAATAAGGGGGTGATTCACTATCCACCCCCATCCAATATAATTACAATAGTAATTTAATTTTTTAATTTTTTTCTAATTTTTGTTTATTTTTCTTCTAACTTTTTATTTTTTTAAATTATCTTTTGTCGATTTTTTTTTTTTAATATTGAATTAATTAAAAATTTTGCTTTATAATTTTTTTCTTTTAAAATATTGTGGAATACCATAGTGTTTTTCTACATAGTTTTTTTATTTTATGCTTTTTATTTTTCTAAATTATTTTTGTTGAATTTATTATTTTTAATATTGAACTGATTAAGAATTTAGTTTTGTAATTTTTTTTAAATATTGTTGATTGCTACAGTGTTTCTTCGCATAATGTTTTTTTTTATATGATTTTCTCTAAAATTATCTTTTTTTTATTTTATTTTTTAATATTAAGCTGGTTAAAAATTACAGTTATACAATGGGAGAAAAATACTGTAACTTTCCTTATAAATTACTGTGAATTGTCATAGTGTTTTTACCCATATGGTTTTTTTTTCCCAATTTTTTTGTAATTTTTTTTCTAAAATTATCTTTATCGATTTTAGTTTTTTAATATTTAACTAGTTAGAATTTAACTTTGTAATAAAATTTAATCATGTTGTAACTTTTTTATAAAACACTGTAAATTGCTAGAGTGTCTATCAACATGATTTTTTTTCAAAATCTTTTTGTTCATGTTTTTTTATATTGAGTTGATTGAGAATTATAATTGCAAGTCATTACGAATAACGCTAAATCATGCGGGGAAGCACTGTAACTTTCATTACAATACACTATAAATTACTACAGTGTTTCCAACATGGTTTTTTTTTCTAAAATTATTTTTGTCATTTTTTTTAATATTAAGCTTATTGATAATTTAGTTTTGTATTTTTTTTTAAAAAAACACTATGAATTGTTGCAGTGTTTTCTCATATGATTTTTTTCAAAATTATCTTTGACGATTTTTTTTTTAAATATTGAATTGGTTAAGAATTATAATTACAATAATGCTAAATTATATAGGGAAAGCGTTGTAGTCTTTTTCACAAAACGCTGTGAATTGCTACAGTATTTGTCTAAATAGTTTTTTTTATGATTTTTTAAAATTATCTTTGTAGATTTTATTGGAAAAAGCATTGTAGTTTTCCCTACTAAACATTCTCAAGTGCTACAATATTTTTTCTCATGGGTTTTTTTTCCTTTCAAAATTGTATTTGTTGGTTTTTTTTAATATTAAGTTGGTAGAGAATTTAGCTTTGTAATTTTTTTTTTGTTTTTTATTAACATGTGGCCAAAACACTATATCTTTCATCACAAAATACTGTAAATTATTATAAATTATTTTGTTCAGTATTTAAGTTTTTGATCACCAACATAACTATTTTCTTTGTCATGAAATATTGACTTCATCATACCTTTAATTTTTATTACTTATGTAGCGTTGATTTACAATTATATCAAGTATATTTATTTTATAAGCCCGCAGCCATCTCATTATTATATATTACTTAAATCTAACCTAAATGAATCTCTTTAAAGTTTTAAAAAATATCTTGAAACTTGTACTCTAAGTTAGAGAAAAAAAAGAAACAAGTGATAAGGAAATGTCATTAGGGTAAAAGTGCCTTTAATACAAGTAAATGAACTATAAGAAAAAGTTATGTGATAAAAAAAAAGAATTATGGATTGGATGGGAGTTAATGATATGTTTGAAATTGTGGTAGCAATTATAGTTCAAAATATTTTTTATTTAGAAATATAAAAAAATATGGTTTACACTATATTTCTAAACATATTTTAAATCTAAAAAAGGTTTATAAAAAGATGTAAAACCATGATTTTTATTTTTTATACAGGCAATAGATTAGGCGTTTATGGTTTTAAATTTGGGTTAGGGTTTGGTTAGGGTTTAAGACTTATTTAAGATTTTATCTTTGGATTTGAGGTTTGGTTTCAAGGTTTAAGTTTAGGTATGAGTTAGAGATATGATTTGAATTAGAGTGATTTGAATTTGAATGTAAAATCTAACGTTTGAATTTGAATTTGAAGTTTTATTAAGGTTATATAGGATTTAATTTGAAGTTTTATAAACGATCCAATTTTGGTCTAATGACTACCTTCATGGAAAAACATTGTAGAGAATAGAGGGTGAAGAGAATAAGGATGACGTTTAATAGTTTTACTAGAAACCAAGCGCACAACTTGCAGTTAGGAATATTTTTTTTAAATGTAATTATTATTAATTTATTTTTTAATAGTAAGAAAATTGCATAGATTTAAAATTTAAAGCATAAGTTTAATTAAATTAATCAAGACTTTTATATGCCAATATATTTGAATGCTATTGGAATGATAATATTTTTTAATCAAATACCAAGTTATAAATTTAAAAGAAAGATGTAGATCAAGATATTTGATTATATTATGTAATAAATTATTGGAGTTATTTTATTTATTTATATGCTAATATTTTTATATATAAGAATAAAAATAATTTAAATTTAATTAAAACAAATTAACTTGCTATTATAACATCTTTTTTTCTCTCATTAATATCCATAACTTGTACAAAAAAGTTTTGTTGTCGTTTGTTATTCATTTAATAAAATATTTTGACTTGGCTTCAGTTTTTTCTTTTTTTCTACTAACTCCTTGTGTTTTCTCTAAAAACATGTTTGGTTGTATGGTTGCTTCTGTGTTTGAAGCAATCACAACAACTCACCTGTTTGGTAGTACTCCAACAACAAGTTTATATTAGTGGAGCCTACTATTAATTATGGCATGGCCATAGGTTTGCAAGAAGTAGTAGTTTGCTGTTTCTTAAGCTAGAAAACTCACTCAACTGTTCAGTCGAACTGGTTCGGTTCAATGCTAAAAATACATTAAACCAGATTTGATCTAACAAAATAAAAAATATTTTTATTTTTAATTGTGTTTTATTTAAAAAATAGTATTAAATATTATTCAATGACACTACATAAATTAGACAAAGATCTTTTAATGACGTAATATTTTTAGAATTTAATCTCATTTCCAATTTTATTCCTGATTATATTTTACCTATGTTGTTGCACTCTTAAAAACTTTAATAGAACAATAAAAAATATTTTATATAAAGCATTATTTATTTTATGATATAATACTAATAGTTAAATATAGAATATTTAAATTAAAAACCATCAATATTAATATATATTTTTTAAAATTATTTTATAACCTTAATTTCAAAAGCATTCTTAACCAAACACATTAAACTACTTTTTCTTCAACTTTAATTTCAACCACAGTTTTAACCAAACACTTATTTTTTTAAAGCAACTTTAACTAAAAATACTTTTTATAAAATAATTTTTTTCAAACCACAACCACAATAACTACAATAATACCAAACACACTCTAAGAACAAATGATGTGTTGTGTGTTGTTTATTGCATACACCTCATTTCTAAACTCAAATTGAGAGCATTAATGATGGTTGAAAAATTAGGATATAATTTTTTATACTTTAAAACTTATTTTTCAATTAATTTTCCATCCAAAAACATTCTAAAGACTTTTAAAAACCTATTTATGATGTTAAACTTGGAAACAATTAGTCAAAAAATATAAAATCAACTTGATTTCAAAATACTTTCAAAGACCTGAACTATTTTTTTAGATAATATAAATGTTAAAGAACACATCAACATAATTTCTCTCATTCAAAGAAATCCATTAACACCAAGAATGATCTTTTTTTATGGTAATAATTTTCTCTCTTTTTTGTTATTTTTAAATTGTTTTTTCTTTTATCTTATAAACCCGGATCAAAATAAAAATAAAAAAAAATCTTAGACCAAAATGTATGTTTCCTAAACTAAAAGACCAAAAAGGAACTTTAGAAAATGGAGGGATCAAAATCTTCTTTTATATTAGGACGTCATTTCCTTTTTTATTCAATTTTAATCATTTATCTTTTAATCTTGTGAAAACAATAAAATCAAGTTGATTTTTACGGAATTTAGAAGTAACCCAATGGTGGGACATTTTTTCAAGATTAAGATGGTCTGATATAAGAACAAATTATGATGATAAATTAAAAAAAAAGTGATTTTAAAGAATTAAATTAAAAAAAATATAAAAGGACCGTAAAAAAAATAAAAGAGAATATTGTTCCGATGAACCATACTGTGATGGGAGAGGTACAATGAATTCAAAAAATCTTTTAGTATCTTTCATGTAGTGAACGAAATGGTTGAAAGCATTCCTATTGGCACTTAAAATAAAAGATGAGACATAGCGGCACAAATTTTTTCAATCCATGAGCATTATTAATAATACACTACTTCATCTTATTATTGAGTTGACAGATTTATTGAAAAATATTGTGTCTGGGAGTTGATATAAAACTATTTTCTAAATGTTATTCAACGGCTTAAATTTTTTGAATTAAAATAATTTTTTAATATAATATCTGAATTTTAATAAGTAAATATATAGTTATAAATTTAAATTTTAGTATCTTCATACTTCTAATTAAATTAAAAAAATATTCAAATTTTACCACAGAAATTTCATCATAAAGTTAAACTTTCATTTTAAAAGGGTTAAAAAACTAAAATAAAAATATATTTTCATTTTATCCATCTTGTCTGTGATGTTAATAATAATAATAATAATTAAACAAAAAAGTGTTGAAAGTGACGGTAAGTTTTGTTTTTCATGGCTGTTGTTGATCAAACTAGCGGTGGGACTCATGTTGTCTCAATGATTAAACCACAAAAGCCTATATATCCAAATTAAAATCGTTTTTATCAAAAGTTGCTATCACAAGATTCTCTAGTGAATGTTCTTCCAGCTTTAATCTGTTTATGCTTCAAGGTGGTACGTGAAACAAGTGATAAAACTCTACATAAAAGGAAAGAAGATGCAGATGACCCACCCTCCCAGTTTCATCCAAAGATGAACAGGAGGAAAACAAGGCTTTCTACGTACAACGCCACTGAAATCACTTGAAGATACAATGCCATCAAAAGATTTTATTTATTTTCTTGTGACTTCATGGAAATTAAGATACTGCTAATAAGATTCCAAACCAAAATGGTTACATAATTTTATTCTTATGATATATATATAATAACTTTTTTCAAGGCATTGCATTTTAAAATGACCGAAAAGACACATTGCAGAAGGCACCGAGTTCAAGGAAATGGGTGGTTTGATCCATCTGGTGCAGGGCTATCCGTGCTTCCTCCTCCAATGCATTGCCGGGGACGGTGGAGACTAGTGATGCTCAGGGTCTGGCCCTCCAGGTGAAATTCTTGAAGAGGATGCACCTGTCACATTCCTTCTTGACATATCATAGCCCAATTTCTGTAAGAGAGTGCTGCTATCAATCCTTTTAGGCATAGACTCGACCCCACGATAACTCACTGCCTCCAAATTAATCATATTTGCGGATAAAATGATCAGGATCAGCATTGAAACTCGCAAGACAGCTGAATTGGCCATGTATTAATCCCTAAGAAGATGTTTTAGAAGCAAGCTTAAGAGTGATTGTTTTCGTAAGGTGATAGGAGTTGTGTACAGAACAATAGAATCATGCATGAATTTATAATGCAAATGCGTAAGAAATTCCCAAGATTTTGAAGAATAAACAATAAGCAACATGGGTTCTATCCCCCGTGTGTATTGTTGTCTTCTTTCTTCAATGGAGGTCTGCAAATGTAACCATGACTTTCTCGAATCCTCGGTCTTGAGTCCCCACTCAAGCACCCATGAATAAGAACAAATTTCAGGAGTTGAACATATCTTAGATTGGCCAACTAGAACTTTTTGGTCTGCTCATTATCTTTTTTTTTATATCTGAGATTTTGGACAATTGTTGAAGAAATTACAATCAAGAAATGCTGGGACACTGAGACCTTCGAACAATAAAACAAAGGAGTGGGCATTTTTTTATTTTTTATTAAATCATTCAATATCATTTGAAACGCCACGTACAAATGCGTTCCACCCTTGATGTTGGGCAATGGCTTTCCACCTGGTCATTGCTAATATAAGATTGCCTCCTAGCTAGGAGATACCTAGTTTGGCAAGAAGTAATTGCTGTTTGCTTTTACTAATTTGTTTTTCCTCATGCACAGTACTATTATAAATGTTTTTAAATTTTCCGAAGTGACATAGGACGCAACAAGAAAAGACAAGCTGAGAGAGGGAGAACGTACATTTGCTATATTTTTTAAGATAAAGACTGAAAACTTTTGATGCTAAAGATAGGTCAAGAATCGAACACTCTAAAATTGGATTTTCCCCTTACTGACAAAGGGATAAAGTTTCAAAATTTCAAGTAGTATATGAATAAAGTTTTTGGGTTGAATAAATAGTTAATGAATTGATTATGGTAATTTTATTTATTTTTTCAAGTTGAGAAGATTGATAGTTTAGATTAAATGTTTGGTATATTAAATTGACTTGTAACTATTACTTGTAAAAAATTCTTTTGATAGAGATAAGAACTTTCCAATACTTAAAATAAATATATTTTAGATTAAAAAAATATAAGAATAATATTTTTAAAAAATATTCTGAAAATATATATAAAACCGAGAATCAAGATGATGGACCTTTGTTTTGAAGATCTTATAGTATTTTTATAGTATATAAATCCTTTTGTTTTGTAAAAAGAATGGTCTAGAGTGTAATATTATCATATAGTATTTATTAAAATATAAATATTTCTCTAATCTATATTAATATTTGATAAAAATATAACATGTCTCTACTTTTATATATTTTTAGAAAAATTAATTAGAATCTAAGATTTCAAATGTAATTGAACTCATAAAGACTAAGTTTTTTCCCTAAATTAGACCCAAAGAAAGATTATTATTTTTTTAAATGTTCATAAGAAAGAATATATATTTTCTTAGGCGTCTCCAAACCTTAACATAATGCTAGACTCAATAATATCTAGATTTAGCCAGCACTCGGTTCATTATTTTCATTATTTTCGAGCTTTGCACACTTTAAAGTCCAATATATTTTCATTAGGATTTCACTGGATATACTTGTTTTCCTTATAATTTTTTATTTATTTAATATGTTTTTGATAAAAATATATTAATAAAAACTTAACACATCTAAAGAAATGATGATGTCATTGTCCATTAGAAGATTCATAGTATATATTAGAGACCCCGATTAGTATTATATACTGATCATGAATGAAAATGGATTGCTGATGTACTCAAATGCAACTTTCGCTACAGAGGCTGAGAAGGTTTTCGACCTTCTGATAGTCACATGGCGTGTGAATTGGAAACTCGGGAGAGCAAAGCACATCAACAAAATGCACACAAAGGCGTTCGGAAAGATAGTGGACTTCATGATTTCAATAATTTTATTTGACTCATGAAAGAGGCGAATGCGCAGATGCTTGCATTACAATTATTTTAGGATTTTTTTTTTTTTGAAACTCACTCCACCGATATCTTGACTAGCCAGGTGCTCGGAACGTCTAGTTAAATATAGTCATGGATCATAATGATAGTGTTAAGTTAAGAAGAATTTCATATGAGTTAAACAAGATTTTAGTGAAAATAATTATAATTTTTTAATTTGGTTGTTGAATTATACTAATATTTTATTATATATTGTTTCTAGTGACGACCAGTTTGTTATAACTGGCTGGGGTCATTTAATGCCCAAATTAAGCAAGAATATCCTTTTTTCTCTTCTTTTTTAAAATTTTATTTTTCTAATTACTTTTATTTTTCTAATTTTTTTCTAGTTATTTTTTTTCTATATAGACTAATCATTTCAACTACCAGGTAAAAAATTAATGTGTTATTTTTTCTTACAATTAATTTTATAAATGATTGAAGTTTAGAATATATCATAATTTTTTATATATAATTTATAACCATATCCGAGTTTGAAAAATCTTAATTCTATATTTTTGCCTTTAACTTGGTAGATGACAAACTGCACCGTAATGCTTTTTGGGCATGCGTGTCTAGTCATGAAGTTTAACATTTTCAGTCACTTTAAAATCCATTGCTGAAATCAAAATCTTGACACTATGAAAGGACAGATTTTGGTAATCTTGGAATTTTTGAATAGGGATCTTGGACTGCTCATCTTATTTTAGTGGAAATATCCATTTTTTTCTAATATAACGTAATATTAAAAAAATATAATGTAATAACGAAAAAATAAAGAAGAAATAACTTAGATAACGAAAATTTATTATTTATAAAAAAAATTATCAACTCGTAATTGTTCTTGTTTTCCTATAAAAAGCCAAACTATCTCAAACATATAATTTAACCATAAAAGGGTAAATTTCTCATTCATTATTTTATTAATAGTGAAATTGTCATTAATTATAATATTTTTTGTTGGTATTTCCTAAACTAATATTAAATATCCAATAAAGCACAATATTTTAACTAAATTCTCACTTTTCTAATTCAAATTATCTTTTTTTTTCATATATATATATATATATATATTCAAGTAATGATTTATCAATTAATACCATATTTTTAACATGTATTACATTATTTAACAAAATTTAATGAAAGAAAGAAAAAAGCATAACGAAGTAGATAATGGAACGCTAGAGAATCCGTGATTTTATTTTTTATATATATAGTAGCAAAATCCATAAAATAAGAGCATATTTTATCCTTATACTCTTATTTAATATATTAAGGTACTTTTCCTTAATGTTTTGCTTTGCTCTTTTTTTTTTTTTTTTTAAAATTGTGCTAAATAGAAGAAATCATACGCTTTGAATTTGTTATTTTATGCCTTTTCCTTGAGCCCGTTTTAGGCCTAAACAGGGTCTAATGATTTTGTCATGGAAAATAGGATGTAGCCTTTTATTTTCAGAGGACCATTTTGTTAAATTATCCTATAAAGATGTGCAAGTTTAGAGGTGATCATGGAACTTCAAAAAACTTGGGGGGTAGAGGTCACCCCTGGTCGTCTCGAACGTTTTTGCATATGCACAAGTGTATTGAAAGTTGACACTTTGTGTGGTATCTAGCATTGGAACATGGAGGACCTACCATTTGATGTTCTTAAACTTGTCGCGCGCATGGATCCCTTGATGTGGTCACCAAATAACATAAATATTAGGTTTTATTTTTGAAGGATTTGTTTTTTTACTTGAAAGTTGCCAAACACTCGCATGATAAATCAACCTTAATTTTTAAAAGAACCTGTTAGATGATCAATGATTGCTTTGCTATAGAATCAGTGTTTATATAATCTAGTAGGTTGGAGCCATCCCGTCAACATCTCCGTTTGCATTGTAAGTTCTTTGAAGTAGAAGCTAACATCTTTATATTTATGCTGAATATCAGAAGCGTTGGCCAGAGATTGTCATTCTCCTCATTACTCCTCCTCCGATTGAAGAAGATGCACGCGTCCGGTATGCTTCTAACCCACGTGCCCTTTACATCTTTGTACGTGTCTTCTTGAATACTTCTCATGGGCGTGTCATCGTGATTAGCTAGTATCCTTGCAGAGTTTTATATAGAATAAAGTATGTAGAAACTTGGTGAAAGAAATAGCATTAAAATTTTGCAGACATCCATATATAGAGAACCCATCAGGTCTGCCTGAGAGGACAAATGAAGCTGCTGGTGCTTATGATCAGGCATGCATGTCTGTCGCCAAAGAATGTGGATGCCCGGTGGTAGATCTCTGGATCAAAATGCAAGAATGTCTTGACTGGAAGAAAGCTTATCTAAGGTATTTTAAGTTTTATCTTGCTTGTCTATATACTACTATACATTGCTTGCTGCAGGGGTGAACATAATGGATTTTTTGTTGCCATTTATGTTCTATATCACCGGTAATTGATACTTTATTGTTATTGTTCTCGCTAAATGGTGAACATGAAATACTGAAATATTCGCTTGTTTTCTGCTCATGTTTTCACCTAATCAAGTGTTCTTGACATTTACAATTGTTTGTACATCCATCATCTATCATTGCGAAGATGTTATTGACAGCTTTTTGGGAATCTACGTAGTTGCTTGTTTGGTAGAGTACACTTGGTTCATACATGTAAAACATCTACTTGTTATGGTGCAGAGTTCTTACCCGTATTTAATTAAGATTGGCATCCATTTCTGAGATTTTCCATTGCCATGGATTGAATAAATTAAACTAAAAGTTTCGTCATCTATCTCAGGCCATTGAAATTATATTTCTTTTTTTCCTAGTAAGCAACAATTCTTGGTTCTCCAAGGAATTAAGCAGGCTAAGGAATTCTGAATACTTGTTAAAATGGAATTGCAGTGATGGTTTGCACCTCACTCAGGCTGGCAATAGGATTGTGTTTGAGGAGGTGGTCAAGAAGCTGAAGGAGCAGGGCATTTGTGTGGAAAATTTGCCAGTTGATCTCCCACTCATCGCCAACATTGACCCTCAAGATCCACTAAAAGCATTCCAGGATTATTAACATCAGCTCATATGTCAAGCAAGGTCTTTTTTTTTTTCTTCTTCTCTTTTGAGCAGGGTGAGCTGCGCCATAGATATCATGGTGATCGCATTGTGTTGAAAGAATAGCAAAGTGATGTTTAGACTAAGGTTGCGATCATTTTGTGAAAGCAATTCTGTATACGGTGTAACTCACTCTTTAATTCCAGTGAATGTAGACACTGAATGATATAGCTCTTTATTTTGTTGACTTAGAAATAATCTTTGGCATAGCCTTCTGTCTTATCTTCTTAACACAAGATTTTCTTTCTGAGAGTAACGGTGTTCATAACCACTACTTTTTTCTAATATTATACTTTATACATTCATATTTTACTATTAATTACTGTCACATTAAAATGAATATATATATAACACCCAGCTTAGATTAAACAAGTCTGCAACTCAAACTCTTTCGATCCTCTTTCCTGCAGCTTCCAATTACCCGCTCGTGGAGGTGGAGTTTTACATGATGGGTGCTCTTTAAGATAGAATGATATAATTTCTTTAATGAGACATTAAGTGCTCAGGATTATACTATTTGTGCAAGTGGGAATTTCAGGACGGATAGAAATACCAACGAGAACAGATTTTAATAGGTAGAAAATTACTTGATCTGTTCAAGCTCAGGTAAGATTCAGAGGTAAAAAATTAAGTTTCATGTTAGATATGTTAGCTATGAATATTAAGTAATAAGTGGGTGATTCACTATTCACCCACCTCCAATACAATTATAATAGTAATTCATTTTTTTTTCCTAAAATTACTTTTTTTTTCTAACTTTTTCTTTTTTTGTTTATTTTTTTAAATTATTTTTGTTGATTTTATTTTTTTTAATATTGAGTTGGTTAAAAATTTTACTTTATAATTTTTTTCCTTTAAAATACTATGAAATACCACGGTGTTTTTCTACATAGTTTTTTAATTTTATGTTTTTTATTTTTTAAAATTATTTTTGTTGAATTTATTTTTTTAATATTGAGCTGCTTCAGAATTTAGTTTTGTAATTTTTTTGAAACATTGTTGATTGCTAAAGTGTTTTTCCGCATAGGTTTTTTTGATGATTTTTCTTTAAAATTATCTTATCTTATCTTATTTTTTAATATTGAACTGGTTAAAAATTACAGTTATACTATAAGAGAAAAATATTGTAACTTTCCTCATAAATTACTGTGAATTGCCATAGTGTTTTTTCCCACATGTTTTTTTTTCTAGTTTTTTTTGTGTTTTTTTGTAATATTTTTTTCTAAACTTATCTTTGTCGATTTTTTTTTAATATTAAGCTAGTTAGAATTTAACTTTGTAATAAAATTTAATCATGTTGTAACTTTCCTCATAAAATACTGTGAATCACTAGAGTGTCTCTCAACATGATTTTTTTTTCTTATGATTTTTTTTTAAAATTTTGTCAATTTTATTTTTTTAATATTGAGTTGATTGAAAATTACAATTACAAGTTATTACAAATAAGCTAAATCATGTGGGGAAGCACTATAGCTTTCATCACAAAACACTATAAATTACTATAGTGTTTCCAACATGGTTTTTTTTTCTTTTTTTTTTCTTTTTTTCTAAAATTATTTCTGTTGATTTTTTTTTAATATTGAGCTTATTGAGAATTTAGCTTTGTAATTTTTTTCATTAAAACACTATGAATTGTTGCAGTGTTTTCTCATATGATTTTTTCCAAAATTATCTTTCTTGATTTTTTTTAATATTGAGTTGGTTAATAATTATAATTACAATAACGCTAAATCAAATAAGGAAAGCGTTATAGCTTTTCTCAAAAAACACTGTGAATTGCTACAATATTTGTCTAAATGGTTTTTTATGATTTTTTTAAAAATTATCTTTGTCAATTTTATTAGAGAATGCATTGTGGTTTTCCTCACTAAACATTCTCAAGTGCTAAAATGTTTTTTCTCATGGGTTTTTGTCCTTCCAAAATTATATTTGTTGATTTTTTTTAATATTAAGTTGATAGAGAATTTAGTTTTGTAATTTTTTTTGTTTTTTATTAACATGTGGTGAAAATACTATATCTTTCCTCATAAAACACTGTAAATTGCTACAAATCATTATATTCAGTTTTTAAGTTTTTGATCACCAACACAACTATTTTTTCTGTCATGAAATATTGGCTCCATCATATCTTTAGTTTTTATTACTTATGTAGCGTTGATTTATATATTACTTATCATCTTGTTATTATATATTACTTGAACTTGACTTAAATGTAACCTAAATGAATATCTTTAAAGTTTTTAAAAATATTTTGAAACTTGTACTCTAAGTTCGAGAAAAGAAAGAAATAAGTGATAAGGAAATGTCATTAGAGTAAATGTGCCTTTAATACAAGTTATGTGATAAAAAAAAGAAGAAGAAAGAATTATGGATTGGATTGGAGTTAATGACTTGTTTAAAATTATGGTAGAAATTATAGTTTAAAATATTTTTTATTTAGAAATATAAAGAAATACAGTTTATATTGTATTTCTAAACAAGCTCTTAATCTAAAAAAGGTTTATAAAATGATATAAAACCATGATTTTTATTTTTTATATAGGAAACAAGTTAGGGGTTTATGGTTTAAAATTTAGGTTTGGGGTTTGGTTAGGGTTTAAGACTTATTTAAGGTTTTATTTTTGGATTTTAGCTTTGGTTTCAATGTTTAAGTTTGGGTATGAGTTAGAGTTGTGGTTTGAATTAGAGTGATTTAAATTGGAATGTAAAATTTAGAGTTTGAATTTGAATTTAAAGTTTTATTAAGGTTCTATAGGATCCAATTTGAAGTTTTATAAATGATCCAATTTTGATTTAATGACTACCTCGAGAAAAAACATTGTAGAGAATAGAGGGTGAAGAGATAAAGATGACGTTTAGTAGTTTTACTAGAACCTAGTGCCTAACTTGCAGTTAGGATTAATTATTTTTAAATATAATTATAATCAATTTACTTTTTAATAGTAAGAAAATTGCATAGATTTAAAATTTAAAGCATAAGTTTAATTAAATTAATTAAGACTTTTATATGCCAATAAATTTGAATGCTATTAGAATGATAATATTTTTTTAATCAAATACCAAGTTATGAATTTAAAACAAAAATGTAAATTTGATTATATTATGTAAGAAATTATTAGAGTTATTTTATTTATTTATATGCTAATATTTTTATATATAAGAATAACAATAATTTAAATTTAATTAAAACAAATGAACTTGCTATTGTAACACCTTTTTTCTCTCATTAATATCCATAACTTGTACAAAAACTTTTTGTTGTCATATGTTATTCATTTAATAAATGTTTTTGACCTGGATTCAGTTTTCTTCTTTTTTACTAACCCCTTGTGTTTTCTCTAAGAACAAATGATGTGTTGTGTGTTGTTTATTTCATGCACCTCATTTCTAAACTCAAATTAAGACGATTAATGGTGGTTGAAAAATTAAGATATAATTTTTTACACTTTAAAACTTATTTTTCAATTAATTTTCCATCCAAAAACATTCTAAAGACTTTTAAAAACCTATTTATGATGTTAAACTTGGAAACAATTAGTCAAAAAATATAAAATCAACTTGATTTCAAAATACTTTCAAAGACCTGAACTATTTTTTTAAATAATATAAATGATAAAGAACACTTTCATTCAAAGAAATCCATTAACACCAAGAATGATTTTTTTTATGATAATAATTTTTTTTTGTCATTTTTAATTGTTTTTTCTTTTATCTTTTAAACCGAGATCAAAATAAATAAAAAAATCTTAGACCAAAATGTATGTTTCCTAAACTAAAAGACCAAAAAGGAACTTTAGAAAATGGAGGGATCAAAATCTTCTTTTATATTAGGACGTCATTTCCTTTTTTATTCAATTTTAATCATTTATCTTTTAATCTTGTGAAAACAATAAAATCAAGTTGATTTTTACGGAATTTAGAAGTAACCCAATGGTGGGACATTTTTTCAAGATTAAGATGGTCTGATATAAGAACAAATTATGATGATAAATTAAAAAAAAAGTGATTTTAAAGAATTAAATTAAAAAAAAAATAAGAGGACCGTAAAAACAATAAAAGACAACATTGTTCCGATGAACCATACTGTGATGGGAGAGGTACAATGAATTCAAAAAATCTTTTAGTATCTTTCATGTAGTGAACGAAATGTAATAATAATAATAATAATTAAACAAAAAAGTGTTGAAAGTGACGGTAAGTTTTGTTTTTCATGGCTGTTGTTGATCAAACTAGCGGTGGGACTCATGTTGTCTCAATGATTAAACCACAAAAGCCTATATATCCAAATTAAAATCGTTTTTATCAAAAGTTGCTATCACAAGATTCTCTAGTGAATGTTCTTCCAGCTTTAATCTGTTTATGCTTCAAGGTGGTACGTGAAACAAGTGATAAAACTCTACATAAAAGGAAAGAAGATGCAGATGACCCACCCTCCCAGTTTCATCCAAAGATGAACAGGAGGAAAACAAGGCTTTCTACGTACAACGCCACTGAAATCACTTGAAGATACAATGCCATCAAAAGATTTTATTTATTTTCTTGTGACTTCATGGAAATTAAGATACTGCTAATAAGATTCCAAACCAAAATGGTTACATAATTTTATTCTTATGATATATATATAATAACTTTTTTCAAGGCATTGCATTTTAAAATGACCGAAAAGACACATTGCAGAAGGCACCGAGTTCAAGGAAATGGGTGGTTTGATCCATCTGGTGCAGGGCTATCCGTGCTTCCTCCTCCAATGCATTGCCGGGGACGGTGGAGACTAGTGATGCTCAGGGTCTGGCCCTCCAGGTGAAATTCTTGAAGAGGATGCACCTGTCACATTCCTTTTTGACATATCATAGCCCAATTTCTGTAAGAGAGTGCTGCTATCAATCCTTTTAGGCATAGACTCGACCCCACGATAACTCACTGCCTCCAAATTAATCATATTTGCGGATAAAATGATCAGGATCAGCACTGAAACTCGCAAGACAGCTGAATTGGCCATGTATTAATCCCTAAGAAAATGTTTTAGAAGCAAGCTTAAGAGCGATTGTTTTCCTAAGGTGATAGGAGTTGTGTACAGAACAATAGAATCATGCATGAATTTATAATGCAAATGCGTAAGAAATTCCCAAGATTTTGAAGAATAAACAATAAGCAACATGGGTTCTATCCCCCGTGTGTAATGTTGTCTTCTTTCTTCAATGGAGGTCTGCAAATGTAACCATGACTTTCTCGAATCCTCGGTCTTGAGTC